AGGATATTGAGGGTGAGTAATTTATGGGTTAATTTTAATTTTTGGGTGAACTAACCCTTTAAGTTTGAAAATGATGAAAATTCATCGTTAAAAAAAGAAGTAAATATTAGCATTTTATTTTTAAGTTTACTATACAATAATTATGTTTGTATATAATACTCAGTATTATCACACTTTATTATTTAGTTTATTATTTTATTTTTTTTAAAATAAATAAATAAAGTGCAACAATATTATCACTACGATTAATTAATTTTTTTATAGTTGTATTTAATGGGTTATACTATGTGCAGTGTGAGGACCAAACCAAATCTCCAGGTTCTCTTATGAGAACCAGGCTGAAAAACTTATGTGCACCCCTGTCCTTTGTTGATCTTATACGCCGTTTGCAAACAATTCTGCTGTGTGTTGATCTAATACACCATTCACAAACAATTCTGTTGATTTTTGGTCTTATAAGTCATCTGTAAACAATTGTAGATAGCTCCTTGAAATATTAGTTTAGTTTAAGAGTGATCGCCACCCATTGTAATTTTTGTTTTTTAGTTAGTGTAGTTTAGTTAAAGGGTTAGTTCACCCAAAAATGAAAATTAGCCCATAAATGACTCACCCTCAAGTCATCCTATAGGTGTATATGACTTTCTTCTTTCAGACGAATCCAGTCGGAGTGATATAAAAAATTTTCTTTGATCTTTCAAGCTGTTTAAGCGTCATTTCTGAGCGGCGCATGCGCAAAGCCGACCTCCATACATCATCCGCCCAGAACTGCTTCCATTTACAACAGTGAGCGCAAGCTACATTAAAGTGATTATTACGTTTTGAATATGGATATTTTTCTTACAAAGACGTATCGATTCGCTACAGAAGGCCTTTGTTCACCCCCCGGAGCCGTGTGAGACACTTTTTTTTTTATGGATGGGCGCTTTTTATTTAACTGCTTTTGGACGGATGCATGCAACACCCGCTGAGTGCCATGAAACAGCTTGAAAGATCAAAAACCATTTTTAATATAACTCCGACTGGATTCGTCTGAAAGAAGAAAGTCATATACACATAGGATATTGAGCGTGAGTAATTTATGGGCTAATTTTCATTTTTGGGTGAACTAACCCTTTAAGGCATCACATATGCCGAAGATTTCAGTTTTGGTTCTACATTTTCATTTTGGTAGTTGGTTTGGGTTAATAGTTATGGGAATTGTTTGGTTTTAATTATTTCTTTGATTTGGCGACACTCTTGTTTCCTCTCTGTGTTTCTGTTTCTTCTCAAGTTGTTTGTAAATTTAACCAAGCTCTCACTAATAAATGAGACTTCTCGGTGCTCGTTACTTTGTTTAATTGGTACAGTAGTCTGTTATTTACACACACGCAACAGTTATGTCTCACCTAAATGTTGCACAATCATCCCTTCTTTAATATCAAGCATGTCAAAAATACTGAAAGTAACTCTAATGAACAAAAAGACGTGACCTGCTCCATCATTTTGAGTTGCTTTGACACAAACATTTTTAGTTTTAACATAGCTTGTGTTGTTTTCAGCACATCTTTT